TACTGGTGCTGGAGGTTCTAGAGCTACTGGAGGTCCTGGAGCTGTTGGAGGTACTGGCGCTGGAGGCGCTGGAGCTGGAGGTCCTGGAGCTGCTGGAGGTGCTGGTACTGGTGGTGCTGGCGCTGGAGGTTCTGGAGCTACTAGAGGTCCTGGAGCTGTTGGAGGTACTGGCGCTGGTGGCGCTGGAGCTGGAGGTTCTGGAGCTGCTGGAGGTGCTGGTACTGGAGGTGCTGGTGCTGGAGGTTCTGGAGCTACTGGAGGTCCTGGAGCTGTTGGCGGTGCTGGCGCTGGAGGCGCTGGAGCTGGAGGTTTTGGAGCTACTGGAGGTGCTGGTACTGGAGGTGCTGGCGTTGGAGGTGCTGGTGCTGGAGGTGCTGGAGCTACTGGTGCTGGTGGCGCTGCCCAGCCGCGACTGTTCTTCGCTCTGCCGTCGCCTTCGTCTCTGCCACCGCCTGACTCCGTGCTTCGCCAGGTTCTTAGCCTCCCGTCTTCTATTGGTCTTCCGTTACAGCCTGGTACACCGCTGCCTGCTCCTTCTCCTTACACTGAGCAGACAGGAGGTCTTATTGAGCGTCGTGAGCCTGCGTCTCGTCCTGTCTTGCCTGTTCATACTGTCCGCACTGGTCGTACTGGTCGTCGTGTTCCTCGTGAGCGTCCGCCGGCTGTCTCCGGCACACACCTCAAGGCCCTGCGTCCTTCCTCTGCTCCGCAGCGTGTTCCCCTGCCGTCCCCTCCTGCGTCTTCTCTGCCTGACTTTCCAGAGCCTGAGTCTGACCGCGCTCGTGCTGCTAACCCTACTGTCACGCGTCTGCTAGCCACTGTTGTCACTGACCCGTCGTTTGAGTCTGCTGCTGCATCACTGTTGTCACTGACCCGTCGTTTGATTCTGCTGCTGCGTCTGCCTTAGTTGCTGAGCTTGTTGACTTTGCTGCTGCCTGTCGTCTAGACTACGCCGCTAGTCTTGTTGCTGAGTCTGATTCTGTCTGTCCTCCGCCCGTCGGGGGTGAGTGTGCTCTTAGCACGGACGTTCTTGAGGACAGGCAGGAGGACCTTGAGTGTCTTGCAGCCGCTGTGCCTCATCTCATGGCCATGCTGCTTGCCCCTGAGGGAGACCCGGATGCTCCAGACATCCCGACCCCGCGCTCTTACGCTGAGGCGATCGCGGGTGAGTACTCCTCTCAGTGGCAGACAGCCATAGACGCAGAGATGGCATCCTGGAAGTCCACAGGCACTTACGTTGACGAGGTTCCCCCTCCTGGGGTGAACATTGTTGATGGCATGTGGATTTTCAGGGTGAAGCGGCCGCCAGGTTCTCCGCCTGTCTTCAAGGCTCGTTACGTTGCTCGAGGCTTCAGCCAGCGGGAGGGAGTTGACTTCTTCCAGACCTTCTCCCCCACCTGAAGATGACCACTCTTCGGGTGCTGCTTCACGTTGCCGCTCAGCGTGACTACGAGCTTCACTCTCTTGGCTTCAGCACAGCTTTCTTACAGGGCAGCCTGCACGAGGAGATCTCGCTGCGCGGCCCACCTGGCTTCACTGTTTCGTTCCCTCTTGGTACCTAGTGGAGCCTCCGGCGGCCAGTCTACGGTCTCCGCCACGCGCCGCGTGAGTGGCACGACACACTGAGGATGACACTTGCGGCTCTTTGGATTGCTCCTTCCACTGCTGACCCGTCGCTGTTTCTGCGCACCGACACTTCGCTGCCGCCGTTCTACATCCTCGTGTACGTCGACGACTTGGTCTTTGCCACTGCTGACACTGAGGCTCTCGCCCTGGTGAAGTCGGAGCTGCAGAAGAGACACACGTGCACAGACCTGGGTGAGCTGCGCAATTACCTTGGCTTGAAGATCACCCAGGACAGAGCACTCCGCACCATCACACTGACTCAGTCACACATGGTGCAGCAGGTCCTTCAGCGCTTCGACTTCACCTGGTCCTCGGCACAGGCCACTCCTCTGGCTACAGGTCACTCGCTCTCAGCTCCACCTTCGGACGAGTCCGTAGAGCCGAGTGGTCCTTACCCAGAGCTAGTCGGCTGCCTCATGTACCTGATGACCTGCACTCGTCCTGGCCTAGCGTACCCTCTTGGCCTTCTGGCTCGCTACGTGGCTCCTGGTAGGCACCGAAAGGTGCACATGGATGCTGCTAAGAGGGTACTGCGCTACTTGTGTAGTACATTGGGCATGGGGCTCGTGCTTGGAGGACGGGGCGACGTTGTCCTCACTGGGCACTCGGAAGCTTATTGGGTTGACGACCTGGCTACGCAGCGGTCGTCACAGGGTTACACCTTCAGTCTTGGGTCTGGCTCTGTTTCTTGGCGGTCTACACGCTCGTCTTCTGTTCTCAGCTCCAGTTGTGAGGCTGAGATCTACGCCACAGCCATGGTTGCACAGGAGTTACGCTGGCACCTACCTGCTTACCGACCTAGGAGAGCGGCCTCGTTCTCCTCCAGTTCTGTACGTAGACAACAAGGCCGCCATTGCCTTGTGTCAGGAGCACAGACTGGAGCAGAGAACGAAGCACATCGCTCTGCGTTACTTCCTTGCTCGAGAGTTGCTGGAGCGTGGTCAGCTTCGTCTTGCTCACGTGGCCACTCGGACCAACACTGGTGATATACTCACCAAGGCACTTCTGTACTTTGTTAGGCCTTGTGCCCACGTTTCCTCACTTGCTGTAGACTTTGCTTCTACTGTGATTTATATATATACCTGCATGTTTGCTCTGCTAGGTAGAGATCACTGTGCTGTTGTTGTTGCATGTATACCTCTGCTTGTGAACTGGCCTTGTGGCCGTTTGCTTGTGCTCAGTGTGTGTGGTGACGTTGTGATCCACCCTGAGCTTGCTTTGCTTCTCTACACTGGTCTTGTGACCCCTTGCTCTCTCCCACTTTGCCTATGGGGGTGTGTCAAATTATATGTATGCTATATATGTTTAGGCTGTAGTGGGGTAGCCAATATGGGGTACAACCCTTTTTAGGGTTTTATACTTGTACCCAACACTTTCCTAGTTCATTCATTCTGGCCTAGCATTCTCAACAGAAGTACCGGTCCACGTAGGGCTGCATGTAGTATTGCATGTCCTCGACTATGTAATCCAATATAGCTCGGTTAATCCTGAAAATATCTCTCAACTCCCTGTCGCCCATTCCCTGCAGGTCCTCTAGCAACAGCTGATAACGCCGACGGCGCAAACTGCCCCTAATCGCACGCTCGGCCGTTCTGTTGGAGCCGTGTGAGCTAGCTGAAGACGAGACGTCCTCGTCGAAGACGCTGCACTCCAACAAGCCGGTTCCCCCTCTAGCGACCACGTCCATGAATATGCTGTAGTAGAACGTGATCCACGCCACTAGGAGTCGCATGAGGAAAGGAATAGTTACAGGCTCTGCCATGGTTGAGGTGTGAAGCCTAAGCAGTGCTGTGCCTGCGGTGAAATGATGTGGTACTTGTACTTGTGAAACTGCCTTTGCCTTCGTGTATGTTGTGGTTTCACATCATTTGCAAGATGCGCCGCCGTGTCCTAGTAGTCTTGCCCGCTAGTGGGAAACTGGTTCAGGGAGTCTGCCCGGCCCCAAAACGTTTGGGCTCGAGTCAATTTGGGTCCCCCAATAGAATGCCGCCATAAGTACACCTTTATGAGTCGCACAGCGTCGCGGTACATCGGTTATTACAGCCGCGAAGATCAGCAAATTTACAGGCGCGACTCGGGAAAAAGGGGATTGAGACACAAGTGTCTACACAGGAATGTTCCCTTAGTGGTAAGGAGCGAAGTGGTATTAGTGTGTGTGTTCGCTTGCTGAACTATAATGAAAATCGTTTCAGTGGTCTGGCTCATATGGTGAGGTGATGCAATCAATCAGCCTATTAAATATTATCAACGCTAATGGGAAAGTTTTTTTCCCAGATACAACACTGATTTTCCAGGGTGTTTTCACATATGGACCCTGACAGAAAGTTTTTTTTTTTTTAACCAACACTGACCAGAAAGTGTTGCCTAAAACCAATCTGAGGCCCTGTAATCCACTCTAGCTCTCATACCATGTTGATAAAACTGAAGGATCGTAGTGGACAAGATAACGCTTGCTAAGTATGTGAGAGAACATGTGAAGTCTCTCAGATGACCTTGTTACCGTAATAGGATTTGAAAGAACAAGATGATTATAAGATAAGAGTAAAGGAATAGTTTGTAATCCTAGCTAGCCATGTACTCTGAGGAGGGGTACATTCCCTTATTAACTAAATTACATTGCTACAGTAACAATGACTATTGGCATTCTAGACAGTTACCATGTTGTAGTTCGCAACTGCCTTGTGCGATTACTGGTCAGTCAAGGGTCATGACCGTTGACTGTCTTCGACTGTAGACCTTTGGGTGACCCTCGACCTTCCACGTGCTCTATATGAGCTATTGCGGTACTGATACATGCGTTTACTTCGTCATGAAGTGACGCGACAGTGGAGAGACTTTCGGTTATTCCAACACAGTTGACCACAATTTCCGGTACTTGAGACCTGGCTAAAATCAGTACATAAAAAGGCTGATAAAGAAGCACATGAGAAATGCCGAATCACCTCGTCAAAACTCCGATTGCGTGGCCTCTCAAACAATGACCAACTACTGGAAACGCTACAGACTGACACTGACGTTTCAGTGTAAAAAGTGCAATCAGCAGTGCAAAAAAAAAAAAAAAAAAAAAATCAAGTGTGCGTGCCCTGCAAGAATCGACTGGGGAGGCTAACCCTAAATGCAATACTCTGGTTCAGCATGTGCCTGTGAAGGTTGCGCAGGTCCCAACGCCGGTGATCCCACATAAGCTCCTCCCCATCCTTCCCTCACATAATAAGCACCCTCCATACTTACCCAGCTCTCCGCCCTCCTCCTCCTGCCTCCCATTTTCCCATCTTTCCTCCTCGGCCGTGCGTCGCCCGTCACTCCCTCCTCCACTCGCCCACCGGTGTCAGCCTCACCGGCAACACCAGCAGCGCGTGTGCCACTGAGAGGGCTCAAGGGGCTCCTCCCAATGTGCGGGGCACGCCGCACATAAGCTCCTGTTGATCCCCCCCCAGCAGACGCCCGAGGGGAGCGAGCGGGTGAGGAACTAGCAGAGCCACGTGGGGAGGATTTTGGTGAGCTGTTGACCGACCTTGCTGGTGAGCTGCTCTTGCTGTTGCACTGCTCTCGTGCCCTCCGCACGCTGCCACTTCCTCTGCAGCTGCTGCCGCTGCCGTTCCCACTGCTGTCAGGCACATGGTCGCTTTTAGGCAGGCTATGTCCGAAATGGAGGGCAGTTTGGTGAGCATGGCGGGTTGCTTGACTGGAGGATACGGAAGGGGAGCGAGGCTTGAGGGGATGGGAGGCTTGAGGGAGATGAGCTCTGGCTGGCAGCGCTTGTCTGTTGCGCCGACCTGCAGACATACCCTCCTCAGCACCACAGCTGCCTACTCTCGTTTCCTCCTCATCCTCGTCCTCTTCCTCATCCTCATCCTCATCCTCCTCTGAGCTGCTCTCCGAGCAGTTGGTGTCAACGCCATGCCTCATTCCCCCATAAAACCGATCCGATGCGATCCTTCCTGAAGGCGCAGCCGTGGGATCAGAGGAAGAGCGTGGGTACTGCAGGTGGGCCAGCACGCGGCTCAAGACAGTTGCTAGCGGCGTCCCATGGGAGGCATGCTTGCTGGACGCACTAGGCTGACAGGCTGAGCTGCTGTTGGTAGATCGGTGGTTCCAAGAACCGGTGGCGGCAGCGGTATTTGTTGCAGTAGGGGTGCATGTGCCGCTGCAGTCACTATTACTTCCCGGGTCACTGTCACTGTCACAAGGCTTGATACCAGCAGCTGCTCCAGCTCTCTGTGTGCTGCCGTGAGCAACATCAACCCTGACCGCACCACTGCTCCTGGGACCGCTCCTACTGCCACTGCCACTGCCGCTGCCGCTGCCGCTGTTGCCATTCACGCTCCTTCCAGCCTTCACGAGGTGCGGAAGGTGGGGCTTTGTAGGTGAGGAAAGATTCTGGGAAGCTGCAGCTTTGCTGCCAGGCGCGTGGATCAAACCAAGAAAAGGTGACCGGCTGGCAAGAGCATCGGCAGAACCAGCACCAGCAACACCTGTAGGAGCAGCACGAGCAGCAGCAGAAGCAGCAGCACCAGGGCCCGAATAATAACCAACACTGGCGGACCGAGAAAAGCAGTCGTTGGTGTGCGGCTGCCGCCCCTGTAGCACGTGTTTGAGCAGACCTTCCTGGAGCCCTTGGTGGGTTGTTCCAGCGCTGCTGCTGACACTGTGTGCAGCTGTAGTTTGCTCCCACTTGCTCCTGGCGCGCCCACTGATCATGAGCGCACCGCTCCTGCTGCTGCTGATCAGCAGTGTGCTCATTGGCCCTTCCACAGGACCCATCCTTGCCCGTGCTGCAGCGGAAGCAGCAGGCGCTGCAGCAGGGGTGGCAGAGGCAGCAGCCGCACCGGCATGTGAGCCTGCAGTGGAAGAAGCAGCAGCAAGAGCAGCAGGAGCAGGAGCAGCAGGAATGTAGATACTGCTCGGGAGAGGTGTCTTGGTGAAGGTGGCGCTGCTGAAGGCAAGGGAATCGGAGCGGCTCCTTCTATGCCTACTTCCGACAGCGCCAGAAGCAGCGGCAGCAGCAGCACCACCGGTAGCACCATTCACACCAGTAACACCAGAAGCAGCAGCGTGAATGTGTGAAAGGGGTGGTGGTGGTGGAAACCCCGTGTGAGCAGCCACTGCTAGAGGAGACGGTGTGGGGGGCTTGGGATGAATACCAGCAGTAGGGAATGTGGCAGGGAGTGAGGAAAAAGCTGCAGTGGCAGGGGCAGGGGCACCTGCAGTTTGCTCGTGCTTGCTCCTGGCCCTCCCAGTGGGCATAAGGGCCCCGCCCCTGTTGCTGCTGCTGCTGCTGCTACTGCTGCTCGCTAGGGTACTCATAGGACCATCCGTGGGACCCAAGCTTGCTTGTGCTGCCGCGGAAGCAGGAGCAGGAGTGGCAGAGGTAGCAGAGGCGCGCACGTGTGAGTCTGCAGCAGCGACGAAGGCGTGGATACTGTTGGGGAGAGGCGTCTTGGTGAAGGTGGCAGTGTGAAAGGCATACGAGTCGGAGTGGCTCCTTCTATGCCTGCTTGCGCCACCAGCACCGGCAGCACCGGCAGCACCAGCAGCACCAGCAGCGACAGTGCCACCAGGAAACTGGTTACCACGAATTGGCTGGTTGCCTCGCTCCGTCCAGTTACCGTGATTCGACTGGTTACTGCGAGCACCCTGGTTACTACCACCAGGCATTCTGTTCTCCGGCAGTCTACCGGGGAAAGCACCACCCGAACGGAGGCTCTCAGTTCTTGTGACTGGAAGCTGCGCACAGCCTTCTCCGGCACCGCGTCTAACTCCCCCACCGGCGCCTGCGGGTCCCCATGTGCCCGTCTCATCCAGGGGCGGAGCACGTTGTTGCGGGGCGCACGCTGCTGCTTCTTCTGCTGTTGTTACCGCTGATGGTGTTGTGTGCTTCTCCGGCCGCTGCCCCGAGCGCCGCTGCTGCTGCTGCTGCTGCTGCTGCTGCTGCTGCTGCCGCTGCTGCGGGGGCGGCGATACGTGCGCGGAAAGAGTGGAGCGCGGCAGCCGCGCGGGGGGCGCGTCAGGCGCGTCCGCCGCGTCCGCCGCGTCAGGCGCGCCAGCGGACCAGCTTCGGGGGAAGACAGCGCTCGCGTGCCGCGGGGGGGAGCGCAGGGGGGAGACGGGCGGAGGGGATACAGAGGCGCGGCGGGGGGAGCGGAGCAACACAGCAGCAGGGGCTTCGGCGGAGGGAGAAGCGGTGATTTTCCTCTGCCGGGGGCGACCGGGGGCGTTACCAAGCAGTTGCTGCTGCTTGTTGATTGCGCTGCTAGGAGCTTGCTGCTGTTGCTGCTGCTGCTGCTGCTGCTGCTGCTGTTGTGCGTTGCTCGTATTGACCGTGCTCCCTCGCGCATCGTGCTCGCCCAGCGCACGCGCCACCACCACGCACTCCTCCCACTCCAACTCCGACTCGGATTCCGATTCCCACTCCCACGCGCTCGACTCGCCCTCTCCCTCGCTCTCCTCTCCGCCTTCCTGCGCGCTGGGTTGACTCTCCGCCGCAGCACTGCCGCGGCCCGCGCTGCCCGCGAACCGTCCCGCAACGGCGGAAAGAGGGGAGGCGGGGGGGCCGCGGGGCGGGGAGACACTCGCGGCGGCGGGCGCAATTCCGGGAGTTGCGTCGCGCGGGAGCTGTAAGTGTCTTCCGCCGTCCGCGGACGCTGAGAACAGCGCCGCCGCCGCCGGAATGCGCCGCGGGGGCTGCGGCGAAAGCGGCGGGAGCGTGTAATCTGCGCTGTCCACTCCGCCGTCCGCTGCTTGCGGAGTAATGAATCCGCCGACCGACGCGGATCGGAAGTGGTGGGCGCGGCGGAAACCGGAGGGGCTGCCGGGAGGGGGGCGGGGAGAGCGGGGCGCGTCTTTTCCGCCGCGCACTAGTAGCGAGCCCAGGTCCATAGCGTCAGCAGGTGGCTCCGCGTCGGCGACATTAAGGGTAGTACAAGCAAGCCCAGGGAGACCGCGAGAGCAGGGACCTTCCGCGATCGCCGTCGCTGTGACTGTCGTCGCCACCGCGCCGTCACTTGCGCCGTTGCTGGACGAGGCGGCGCGCGCTGCTGCTGACGTGGCCACGCCGCAGCCGGCTCCACCACGCCGTGACGCAGCACCCGCCGGCGGGCTTGCGCACGCCGCCTCGCGCGATACACCGCGCGGCTCGGGCGCGAGCGCAGGGACAGGGGGAGCTTGAGCGGCGGAGCGCGTTATTTGGAGACGTCTCAAAACCGGGTTATTACTATTTCCTCCGTCTGACGAAGACCCGTCGCTGTGAGGCGTCTCGACGACGACGCGGCTCGCGCCGCCAGATTGCGCTTGCGGCGGAGGCGGCTGGAAACGCGGGCCCGCAACACCGGCGTCGTTGCTGTCGCGGCGGGCGTTGCGGTTGTCGCGAGAGTCGCGGGCGTCGTAGATACCGCCGCCGCCGACGGCCCACCCCAAGCCGCCGCCTTCATCGGCAAGCCCGATGCTCAGTCCCAAGTAGGCCCTGCAGCGCTCCGGTTTGACCGCCATGGCTGCTGCTGCCGCTGCTGACGCCGCTGCATCTGCTGCTGATGCCGCTGCGTCTGCTGCTGCCACTGCTTCCGCTGCCGCTGCTTTCGCCGCTTGTCCGTACAGGGGCGGGTCAAGGAATTACTCCGTGCGTGGTGCCTGGTGCTTGTGTATGCTCGTTCTCAATGCTGCTCGCAACTACTACTGCTTTGCGGGTCACTGGCGTTCAACAATTATCGCTTTGCTGCGGTCAGGGTCCCACGCAATGAGCTGCAGCGCCTTTTCGATCCGACTCGGAGTCGGATGATTCGAGCCCGCCGCCGCGTCGTGCCCGGGAATGCAATGAAAAAGTGTCAGGCAAATCTTGGCGATTGGTTGAAATTGGTCGAAACGGGTCGAGTCGCCTCGCCTCGTGGCGAACGAGGGGCGACGAGTGGGGCCGCCTGGTGTGTAGTTGGCCAAAAACTTTCTCGTCGCCATCGTACCAATCGGGTTCCGTACCAATCTGGTGCAGCACGTCAGCGTTGTACGGTGTACAGTTGCAAGCTGAGCAGCAGCAAGGTGAGAAACAGCCTGTCCTGCTTCGGCGTGGCCTTTCTGCCATGAGGCCAATCTTCCAGTGTCCCACTGCTAGCAGAGATATGAGATCATGAATGGAGGTGAACGGTGGAGTTACTGGGACAATGGGTTGGCAGCTGAGTCAGAGGGATTTCGGGCGTGAGGGGGGAATCGAAACACAAGCTCGCATCAGTGTATGTACGTGTAGCTCGGCCGCACAAAGAGCGTTTCCGTTGCGACTGGTGAGGAGAGGAGAGTCGGGGAGGAGCGCCAGCAACCCAGTCCACCCGCGAATCTGCTCTGCCTGCGAGTCTGAGAGTACAGTGTGAACTGTTGTCCCACAAGTGAGGCTCTAATTCCTCAGGCCTTCTGCTTGGTGGGAAGGAAGACGTGTTCGGGAGATGCGATCATGCGATGTGGGATTGGATAGGTGGGAGGGAAGGATGAACAGTAGATGTATCGGTTTGTACACCCTCTTTCTCAACCACTGGCTCAAGGGCGTAAAATTTCCGTTATCGCTAACCAAACAATATAACTGACAAAGCTGTTTGTAACGTGCATCACCTCACCTAACTGTATCATTCGCATTGTGCTTGTACAGTAAGTGACAAGACAGTTCTTAACGTGGTGACGTTCTACAAGCCGTGTATGTTCTGCAACCAGGTGCTCTACTAGCGCGAAAGAGGGTGTACATCTCATGGGATTCCCCAGCTTGACGTCAGTCTGGGGAACCACATTCATAGGGGCGAGATCAGCGCGTTCGTCCCTCGTTATTTCTGTGAGGTTTTTCTCGTTGCGTCACGTTCTAAAACGGTGAAGCTCGATAACCGCTGTGCACCGTCTGGCTGAAACGCACTGATCTGTGGATAGCATGAGCTACGAAGCCCGTCACACTGTCCAGACCAGATCACAACTGTCGTGTGCAGTGTCACCCGTAAAGATAAGATCCCCCTGGGTTGGTGCGATACTGCTACTGTACCATTTCTTCACAATGTACACCCAGCTGTCAGATTGTAACACCTCAAAACTCTCATTTTTACCAAAGACGTACAAATAAAAAAAACGGAATGACTGAACTAAACCATTTAGTCCACTATCCCTGCGCGTACAGCACTTAATCTAACGAAAAGTGATGGAAAAGATGTAGTAAGTCATTTTGATTACTTCGCAACCTTCTTGCCTTACTGTTCTGTGCATAAACAAGCTTGCTGGAGCAACAAGTGAAGAGCACACCAGATAAGCTGATCAGGGTTAAATGTCATTTACATGGGACAGTTCGGTTAAGTTAGTCTTCTGTGATTGCATAACCACATTTCTTCTGCTGCTGCTGCTGCTGCTGCTGCTGGTAAGTCACATCACATGAGGCCAAGGGCAGAGAGCTCTTGCACCAAGTCAGGAGGCAGGGGCTTGGGCTCAGCACATCTGCTCAGGTCTACCACCACAAATTCCTGTAGCCGGGGTGGGAGAGTGGGAGGAATTGACATTGGCGCCGTGTTAGAAGTGAATCTTTAAGTCGACTAGGAAACATTTGCTCAGATGTACCACCACAAATTCCTGCAGCCGGGGACGAGAGTGGGGGCGCCATGGGTTGGAAGAGCGAAGAGTGAGGGAGGGATTGAAGAGGGAGGGAGAGAGTGAAGAGTGAGGGTGGGAGCGAAGGGTGAGGGAGAGATGGAAGAGCGAGTGAAGAGCAAGGGAGAGAGTGAAGAGGGAAGGGAGTGAGGGAGAGAGAGAGGCGAGAAAGTGGGAGTGAAGAGCGAGGGAGAGTGGGAAGAGTGAAGGGAGTGACAGAGAGAGGGAGGAGCGAAGGAGGGAGTGAAGCGTGAGGGAGAGCGAGATGAAACAGGGAAGAGACTCGAAAGGAAAGAGGGGGAAGGGAAGGGAACAGGGGCGAGATGTGCAGGGAGGGAGCAGAGCGCACCTTGGTTGGCTGCCCTCTGTGCAAGACGCCAAGGGGGAAAGACATGCAAGGGTGTACCTTGGTGAGTTGCCCTCTGTGCAGGACGTGTGCGTGCCTCTCTGTGATGCAGTCGCTGCATAGCACGGCCATGAGTGCACTGTACACGAGGCCTAGCAGCGCCAGCAGTGATGCTGGGAGGGAGGGGGGCGAGGAGCGAGGGGAAGGAGGAGAAAAGGTTTCAGAGGGGAAGAGAGAGAGGAAGCAAGAGGGTTGCTGCATAGCACGGCGATGGGTGCACTGTACACGAGGCCTAGCAGTGCCAGCAGTAAACGCTGGGAGGGAGGGGGATGGATGGACGGGGAGGGACGGAGGGAGGGGTGGAGGGAGGCAGGGGAGGGGGTGCACAGGGCAGCCTCAGAGGGAAAGAGAAGTGAAAGAGGAAGAAATTCATTGCATGGCATAGAAACGCGTGCAGAGGCATGGAAGGAGCACAAGAGGGGGCAGGGGGACGGGGGCAGGAGGCAACAGGAGCACCGTCGAACGAGAGCACGAGATTGATGAAAGGAGACGGGAAAGGAGGGGAGAAGGACGATAGGCCGAGGGCGGATAACGGAGACGGAAAGGCGAGTAAAGTCTCCCCTTGGCCTTTCTTGAAACTCCCATCCCTACGATCCCCTTCACGCCCACACGAAAATGAACGCAAACTCTCCCCTTGCCACCTCCCCGAATTGAGCCTTTATGAATCACAAACACCCAGCACACAGTTACATATGAATGTACATACACAAATACATGATTATTCAATACATACATAAATACATTGAAAGCGGGGAGGGAGGGAAGGGGGAAGGGAGAGAGTGGGTGACCAGCAAAGGAGAAGAACTCGTGGGGTCGGTCCCGGAAGCCCAGTGCGTCCCTGAGCTGGCGCCCAAACACCCGGTACGTGACCACTCCCACTGCCCCCACCAGCTGCCCCGCCACCACCACCGCCACCACCGGCACCACCAGTGCCGGCACCACCAGCGCCGGTACCAATGTTGGACGTGGGAGGAGTTGGATTTGCGAAGTCAGGGGACGGAAGAAGGGTTGGGAGGGAGGAAGGATGGGGGGGGGGCAAAGAGGGACGAAAGGAGGAAGGAGGGGGAGGAAGGGCAGAAGGATGGGAGGGAGGTAAGGTGGAAGGGGAGAGAGAATGGAGAAATGAGACAGATGTCTTTGGAGCCACAGGTCACAAGTGGCGGTGGGAGCACAGGCATGGGCAGCTCAGCTGTGCCTCCATTGTGGTCTAGTACAAGTGCATTTCAGTTCACACCTTGTCTCATGCATCTCCTGCCCAGCAGGTTGGGCAAGCTGCTATCAGGAACACGAGGCACGACAGGAACAACAGGGACGATAGGAACGAGAGCGGTGTCTACAGCATGAGAGCATGGCAACATGGGGGCAAGGCAGCACGTACCAGGAGCACGAGGGTGACGAGCGCTGCATGGTCCCTCAGCAGCACCGCTCTGAACCGCAGTCGGTGCCAGGAGCGGTCATGGGGCAGGTGCGGGCGCAGGGAGAAGGGCGCACGGCACTCTGAGCAGCGTGAGAACGCTGAACCCTGCTGTGATGGGCGGTGGTGGCGGTGGGGAGGGAGGGAAGCAGGGACGAGGGAGGAGCATGGGCAGGGGTAGGGCGAGGTGCAGGTGCAAAGACAGGGGCAGGGGATGGGCAGAGGGAGGGGCAGAGGGAGGGGCAGAGGGAGGGACAGAGGGAGGGACAGACAGGGGAGGGACAGAGGGAGGGACAGACAGGGGAGGGACAGAGGGAGGGACAGACAGGGGAGGGACAGAGGGAGGGACAGACAGGGGAGGGACGTGAGAACGAGGAGCCTTGTTGTGATGGATGATGGGGCGGAGGTGCAGCCGGGGAGATGGAAGGAGGTGCATGGGCAGGGGAAGACAAAGGAGAAGAGGCAGAAATCACTCATGGAGAGATAGGGCGGAATGGGTAGCAGGGAGAGCAAGTGGGGCAAGGAGGACAGTGGACAGTGGACGGCATCCCACCAGACCGCGTCCCACTACTACCGCACCCCACCGCTGCGCACCTTGGCAGCCCTCCAAGCGTCAAGGCAGGTGCGGTGCACGAAGCGCTGAGTCCCACGGCACTGGCAGGGCGCTATCAGCCGCCGACCTGGTGCCCATGGGGGGCGAGGGGGAGAGGAAGGAGGGGGGGGGAGAGGAAGGAGAGGGGGGGAGAGGAAGGAGAGGGGGGGGAGAGGGGGGAGAGGAAGGAGAGGGGGGAGAGGAAGGAGAGGGGGGGAGAGGGGGGAGAGGAAGGAGAGGGGGGAGAGGGGAGGCAGGCGGGTGAGGGGGATGGTCGAATCTTGCACTGAGAAACTAGACACCTCTGCATCGCATCCCACCACACTGAGACTGGGCAGAAAGACGATGTGACGGCCCGGTAGGTGTGTGCGTGAGGGGGAGGCAGGTGAGGGGGCGATGGGTTCTGAGGCGAGAAACAGGTGACCTGTGCATGACGACGTTGCACTGGCAGCGAGTTGGTAGAGGCGATATGAAGGCCTGGAGGGCACAGGCGCGGCGTGACGGATGGGGAGGGGTTGGACGGGGAAGGGGAGCGGAGCGGAGGGGAGAGGAGGGGAGGGGAGGGGAGGGGAGGGGAGGGGAGGGGAGGGGAGGGGAGGGGAGGGGAGGAGAGGGGAGGGGAGGGGAGGGGAGGGGGGGTGAGGAGTGGCGGGGACTAGGCGGAAGAGGGAGTGTGCAAGTGGCGGGGATGAGGAAGGCAGACGGGATATCATGTTTTCAAATGATATGCCATGGAACAGCAGGGAGTTGCTCATGTGATTTCTCAATTCACCCATTCTCCCCGTAACACACCCCACCTCCCAAACCCTCTCCCCCATTAGTCTTCTCCACACACCTTCCCCCATTTCCCTCCCCCTTTTTCCACCCCCTTCCACCTGGCGCATGTGCGGCTATCATACCATCAGCCTCCAGGCATATCCGGCACTGCTGCGTGCTTTCGTCCTCCCCCTCTTCCTCCTCCCGCCCCCCTTCCTCCATCGCGTTCCCTCCACCGTCCCTCGTCCCGCCACCGCCATCATCCAAATCTCCCATCCCTCTCCCCTCCTTCCCCACCGTCTCCCCTAGCCTTCCCTGCTCCACACTTCCCTCACTCCCAATCACAGCAGAGCACAGGGCGGCAGTTGTTTCGTCCGCGGGACTGGCAGCACCGCCTGGAGGGGGCCCGCGGAGCTCCGCTGCGCCTGCTGCCTCTTCCGCCCCCCCGCGCCTAGCTAGTAACGCCTCCGCCTCCCCCGTCTCCTCCCCCTCCGCCTCCGCGTCCCGCGCAGGTAGTTCCGCGCCCATGTGCGAGCGGGCTAGCAGCGTCAACGGCATCGCGGAGAAAAAAGCGAGGGATCCGCGGGGAGACGGACGGAGAGGCGGGCGGAGAGGCGGGCGGAGAGGCGGGCGGAGAGGCGGACGGACGGACGAGGACGCAGAGGTGTGCAGAACGGCGCTCCTTCGAGCCGCTCGTTCGAAACGCTACTACTGCCGTGGACGAGCGGCCGTGTGCTTACGCCGGATGGTGGAAAGGCGGGGCGAGCCTTGTGAGCAAGTGGCTGGCCAGCTGGGTTCACAGAAACATCCGGAAAAGGAAAAATATTTAGCGTTGAGTCAACCCAAAGTCGCCGCGTGTAACGAGGGTAGGATCGGTCCGCCTGTGAGATTTTTTTTCTCAAATTGTGGAGCTTTCTTTCGGTGCTGAGTTATTCTGGCGAGAAGAGCCTCTTTTGAAATTGAATTAGGAGATTTCTCGAAAATTGGATTGCTCCCCTTGAGTTGATCTCGAATGGCGGAGCTGAGTATTCCTGGTGAGAAGAGTCTCTTTTGAGACAACAGCGGGAGGTGGCGGTGGGGGTTTTCGCTGAGCTATCGCCGCGAGGGCTCGAGGACGGTAGAATCAGATTACGCTGTTTCGCGATGCGAAATCGCAGCTCGAATCGCTAGCGGTTCACCGTGTTGAAGTGGTTGCTGCGGAAGAAGCCGACGCTGGAGCAGAATCGTTGATTGAAGTGCTGTTGTTAGAGAGCGGCGGTTTACGGAGTGGACGTTTCCATAATCTACTCGCTCAACATCACGTGACGTGACGCCTCCAAGGTAACAAGAAACGGAACCGCTGGATTGAGGCTGCGTTCTAACTGTACTGTACGAACAAGTCGCGCTTGAAAATTCGACCGATGTGCGATTCTTCCCAATTTTCTACGACTAGAACCTTCGAACAGTACTGACAGCGGCCGCGTGCGACAGTCGACGATTTGCGATGAGCATCGCCATCCGCCAACGGACGACGCATTCTTACCATCGTGATATCGACGGTTCTCATCTCGAGTCTATGATGTCAGATAATTGTACTCCGAATTTTCCCGATGCGACGGGTTACCGTAGCATAATGTGTTCGTTCAGACCAGAGATGCTACAGTCCTGACCTGACCAGCGAAAATGTATGCTGCTGCTCAGCTTCTTCGATTTGAACGCCACTTGTCCAGGATGCTACCTAAGTCACGCAAGTGTCACTCACTGCAGCGACCTTACAGGCGAACTGTCGTCTTGTCGGTAGTGTATTTGTCAGTGTGGAAACCTTTGCTTCAGGAACAATTTAAACTCGCTATGGTTGGTGACATTATGCCTTAGAATGTATCAGAGACACTGTTACAAACGTTTCAAAACACCCGGTTTATGCTCGTAAGATACACATGATTCTGTGAATTGCCTCAATGCGATAGGAGCTGATCGCACGACGACCATGCATGCCTTGGCTTACAGTTAGCTTGCAACAATTCACAACCCGGAACTGCTCACTGGTACTGCACAAAGCAGCAAAACGGAAGTAACCAGAGGCGTTTGTGGCCAGAGGCTCACAAAGAGTACGCTTGCAACCCCCAAGCACAGCCAATCCATCCATCCATCTGGTCCTCTTCACCATTCCTCGTTGCTCCTCACCACCACTCACCACTCGTTTCTCCTAGCTACTCCACTCCACCCCAGTTTGACAGTGGTGGGACCTCCAATTACTGCGACACCTGTCATAACTTTCCCCTTACCACCCAGCTCCTTTTGCCGTTTACAGCTCCCTGCACAGTACCCACAGCCCACTGCCCACTGCTTACCGCTCACTGCTCTGCCCCACTGCCCATCCCGCTGTTCGCAGTTGCCCGAGGGCCCTTCACCATTCATCCCTGGCCCCTTCACCATTCATCCCTGGCCCCTTCACCATTCATCCCTGCCCCTGGCTATGTCTGCCAATGCTACTGGAAGCACACATGCAAGCCGATGTAGGTCAAGGGTCGCCAACACTCAGCGAGCAGCGGAGGCAGGAGCGGAAGGACAGGTGGGCCGTGCTTGAAACTCAGCAGGCAGTCAGGGGAAGATTCGGGGCACCTCAGAAATCAGCAGAAGGACAGGAGTCGGTGGGTGGAGGGCAGCGCAAGCAGCTGGTATCTGCTTCAAAGAAGAGCGGTTCCCGATGCAAAGTCCAGACACAGGGCGGTGATGAGCTATGGATTCGCGCACGCTCTGCCAACTGCACAGGTGCTTGGTGGTGGGTGCTGGTGCCTGGTTCAGGCTCGCGTTCCAGTCCAGGGGTCACATGCGCGCGCCACTGCTCAAGGACATGCTGGGCAGCCGAGGTGCAGCGTCGTGCAGTCATACCAAATGTGTTGGACGCACCGCCGCTGTCACGAGGTGACAGTTGAATCGCCTCAAGAGTCGCCTTCTTCAGTCATATGACGTCACATGTATAGGGCGGGACGTACAACCGATGCCAGTGCTCCCCCCTTCTTGCTTCCTCCACGAGACAAGCAAACCGGCCCATACTCCACCACTTCTCCATGCTCCTCCGACCCACCTTCCCCACCTGCTCCTGCTGCCACCAGTGCTTCTGCTGCTGCTGCTGCTGCTGCTGCTGCTGCTGCCACTGCTGCTGCTGTTTATGCTGCAGTTCGTGCTGCTAACCCCCCTTCTTCCCCTGACGCTGCTCCTGCTGTGCACTCTTGCTACACTTAACGTGCCTCGTCCTCCTCTCCCTCTCTCCCGCCCCCCCCACAACACACACCTGTGCAACTACCCCCTCACGCACCTCACCTGCACTGCAAACCGGCGAACGAACGCAGTACCAGCAGGTGCAAGGTACAGGCACAGAAATGCACAGAAATTAGGGAGCTTCGACATCACGCCCTCAAAAACCCTGCTTGGACCGTGCCTCCCACTGCCAGGGACGGCTGCGGAGACAAGCCAGGGGGTTGGACGGTGTCTGCTTGGCTCTCCCTGCTCCACTGCTCTCATTCTGCACGGCTCGAGGGGTATTCTTGAGGAATTTCAAGAAAAAGCTCTAGCAGGCAAACACAGCCATTGCAGGCAGCGGTGAAGATGGCGCGATATCGAGGGCACCGGGGTGTGCTGAGATGATGAATCGATGGACTCGTAGGCTTTCGTGCTGATGCCACGCAGCAAGGGCATCACTTCGTAATCGCGGTAAACGAAACAGGAAGAGAAACCAGAAAAAAAAAAAAAAAAAAAAAAAAAAAAACAGGAAAAAAAAAGTTTGTGGCTGCGCAACACTCTTCCCTCAAGTCCTGGCTGCTCTGCCATCCTTGGTGAGTGCAACACTCTTGGCCTGCACCGCACCTCACCGCCTCCGGTTCAACCTGGCCTGGCTGTTGCTAGAAAAGTCCGACAGTGACCCATCCACCACCCCCAGGTTGTTCCTCCCAGGCCGCTCCCTCTCCCTCTCCCGCTCCGCCCCTCCGTGCGCCCCCTGCTGATCCCGTGCTCTTACAAGCAATACAGGCTGTGCTCCCCTGCCCTGCCCTCCCATTCCCCCTCCACCTGCTGCTGCTGCTGCTGCTGCTGCTGCTCCTCCTCCTCCTCCTAAAATCCCTGCTCCTCCTGCTCCTCTCCCCCCACCAAGCCCCTGCTGCCATTGCACGTACCCACCACTTCCTCCTCCCCCTCCCGCTCCCCCTACTCCTCCTCCCCACCCGCCTCCCGCCCCCCCACCTCCCCCTGCAAACCCCACAGCAGCAGGTGCAAACGGTCTCTCCTCTTCCGCCCGCTCATTATACTCCAGCACACGTCTCTTGATATCCTGTCTCTCCTTCTCCTCCTCCTCCTCCTTGCGCCGCGTCGCCACCGCAATAGCACTGTCACTCGGAACCATCAACTCCCTCGCCTGCTGCTTGTTCCCTCTCTTCACCAGCACCCGAAACACAGTCATATCCGGCCCCTTCTCCTCCCCTCCTCTCCCTCTCCCCCCTCTTCCTCCCCCTCCCCCTTCATCATCAGCATCATCCCCATCATCCACCTTCCCTGCCCCACCCACCCCTCTCCTCCCCACCCCTCCTCCACCACCACCACCACCACCTCCCGCACTCGCACCAGAGCTCCCATCGAGCAGGCTCATGGGAATCGATATGTTCAGCACGCCCGCGCCCCGCTTCTCCAGCTTTCTCTCCGCCAGGCTCTCCTGCATGAGCGCTCGGAACTCCTTGTCAAAGTCTTCTAGCTCCTCCGGATCCACCTCCGCTTCTTTCCTCCCCCCGACTAGCTTCACTTTGTCGTCATCCCCCTCCTCCGCCTCGCTTGCTTCTCCGCCTGCGCCCCCCTCCCCCTCCGTCTCCCCCTCGTCGTCGTCGTCCTCCCCTCCCCCGTCCTCCCCGTCTCCTGTCTCATCCCCGTCGTCCTCCTCCCCTCCCTCCTCCTCATCCCCTCCCACAGTCTCCTCCTCGCTATCACTCCTCTCCTCCTCCCCTCCCTCCCCTGCTTTCCCCCCTTGCTCCATCTGCACTTCAACATTCTCAGGGATAACCCCAAGCCCTTGAACCCCAACCCCTCCTCCCCCCCCCCCCTGCTCCTCCCATCCCCGCCGCTGCCCCAGCAGCACCACCCGCACTAGCCCCGTCCCCTCCTCTCCCGCCGCCCCCTCCCCCGCCCTTGCCAGCAGCCCTCTCAGCGTCCTGCAGCAGCTGCGCCTGCGCCTCTTCCAGAGTGGCGAATCGCTTCATGCGCGGCCGCAGCTTGGCAAACAGATCCTGAACGGGGGGGGGGGGCGGACGAGAGGAGCAGAGCATGGGCAAGACTCTTGGAAACCCATGAGAGGACTTTTCGCCCCATACTGAGCAGCACGGCTAGTATTATACTCAATCTTCAGATGAAGGCGAGTATACACTCGCTCCACGACAGGTCCGAACGAAAAGAAAGGAGTAGAAATGAAGCCGAAGAAAAAAAAAACCATGGAACGAAGGAAAACGAACGCCCACCTGTCTTGTGCAGCTAGATTTCCACATTGAAACGCACGCAAGGATTCCATAACAGTAGCCTCCTGCTGTTGCTCCTGACAGGAGCACATGTGCTCTTCGACCTATGGTCTCTTGCAAAACAGGTGTGAAAACAGTCTCTTTGGTGCTCTCACAGCTGGTCGCCTGTGTGGAAGCAGCACTGGAGGCATCTCACCTGCAGGTCGAACTCCACATCGAGCGGCACGGAGGGCTTGGCGAGCACGTAGGCCTGGAAGAGCAGCAGGAAGCGGTCGAGGCGGCGGCGCGAGGAGCCACGGTCAAAGAAGTGGCCGCATGTGGCGAGGAGCGTTGCTGCCATGCGGATGCGGAAGGAGTCGTCCGGTGGGTCTAGCGTGAGGTGCTGTGGGTGGGGGGAAGGGGAGAGGGGGACAGGAAATGGGATGGGATGGGAAGGCAAGGGAGAAGAGGGGGGGGTGAGATGAGGGGGAAGGGGTTTTAGGGAACTGCCTGGTGGTCGTGAGCAGTGTACTGTAGTACACAGCAGAAGCCGCACCTGGGAGGTATCACAAGCAACCAAAGAAGAGCAGCAGGTGCAACATGTCAAAGACCCCAGCGAACCAGATGCGAGTCCACCACGCGATAGCTGTACAGCTCGCCCAGCCGAAGCAGCGGCGCATCGCACTGCACTGCACCGCACCGCACAAGACCCCATCACACACGACCCCAGAAATAGAACCCCTGACTGGTCTCCCTGCCCTACCTCGGGGGTATCAGCGCCGTAGAAGAGCAGGAGGTGCAGCGTTTCGAAGACGAGGTGCGAGTCCACCACACGGTAGCTGTACAGCTCGCCCAGGAAGCGCAGCGCTGTGATGCGCCGCTGCTGGTACGTGCTGTCCGGGACCTCCAAGCCCAACCGAATGTCCTCCATTAGCTGTGGGGGGAGAGGGGGCCGGGGGGGGGGAAGGACGGGGAGGGGAAGGGGAAGAGTGGTGGGTACAGCTGCATGCTGTCTGGGACCTCCAGCCCCAACCGAATGTCCTCCGTTAGCTGGGGGGATGGGGAAGAAGAGGAGAAGGGCGGGAGAGGAAGGGGAAGAGTATGGGGTGCTGGTGCGCGCTGTGTTTTGAGTCGACTCGAAACACGACTCATTACACGCGCATTACTGGTGCGCGCTGTGCTTTGAGTCGACTCAAAACACGACTCATTACACGCGCATTACTGGTGCGCGCTGTGTTTTGAGTCGACTCAAAACACGACTCATTACACACGCATTACTGGTGCGCGCTGTGTTTTGAGTCGACTCAAAACACGACTCATTACATGCGCATTACTGGTGCGCGCTGTGTTTTGAGTCGACTCAAAACACGACTCATTACACACGCATTACTGGTGCGCGCTGTGTTTTGAGTCGACTCAAAACACGACTCATTACACACGCATTACTGGTGCGCGCTGTGTTTTGAGTCGACTCAAAACACGACTCATTACACACGCATTACTGGTGCGCGCTGTGTTTTGAGTCGACTCAAAACACGACTCATTACACACGCACTACTGGTGCGCGCTGTGTTTTGAGTCGACTAAAAACACGACTCATTACACACGCATTACTGGTGCGCGCTGTGTTTTGAGTCGACTCAAAACACGACTCATTACACACGCATTACTGGTGCGCGCTGTGTTTTGAGTCGACTCAAAACACGACTCATTACACACGCATTACTGGTGCGCGCTGTGTTTTGAGTCGACTCAAAACACGACTCATTACACACGCATTACTGGTGCGCGCTGTGTTTTGAGTCGACTCAAAACACGACTCATTACACACGCACTACTGGTGCGCGCTGTGTTTTGAGTCGACTCAAAACACGACTCATTACACACGCACTACTGGTGCGCGCTGTGTTTTGAGTCGACTCAAAACACGACTCATTACACACGCATTACTGGTGCGCGCTGTGTTTTGAGTCGACTCAAAACACAACTCATTACACACGCATTACTGGTGCGCGCTGTGTTTTGAGTCGACTCAAAACACGACTCATTACACACGCACTGCTGGTGCGCGCTGTGTTTTGAGTCGACTCAAAACACGACTCATTACACACGCACTACTGGTGCGCGCTGTGTTTTGAGTCGACTCAAAACACGACTCATTACACACGCAATACTGGTGCGTGCTGCTCTGCCCGGTGCCTCCATGCCAAACCAGATGCCCTCCATTACCTGTGGGGCGGGGGGAGAGGGAGCGGAGGTGGGGAAGATGAAATTTCCCAGTGCGAAGGAGGAGGAGAGATGGCGACTAAAGGGAGTGGAGAGACTGGGAAAGGGGTGGTGGTGCAATGCTGTTAGGGGCATCCAAAAAGGAGTACCTCCATCTTCCCCCCACCCTCCTTTCCCACGCCCCACCTCACACCCTGGTTCCTTCCCCCCATCCGTCCATCGACCCGCCGTTTCCCCCCTCCCATCCCTCCCCCCTCCCCCCTCCCCCCCTCACTCCCTCCCTCCGACCCCCACCACTCCCCCCCCTCTCACCTGGTCAACCACGGCCACCCCCACGGATTCTCTGAATCTGGAGAGAGCGGCGACGAGCGAGGCGAGGAGGTGGATCTGGTTGAAGCGCGCGCGGTGGGCCTTCACCAGGCACCGCACCACGTACCCCTCGCACCTTCCCTCCCTCCCCCCAGCCCTCCACCAAACGCTTCCTCCTCCCTCCCACCCTATCCCGCTCAACCCCCTGTCCCCTTAGGGCGTGTTAAATCCCCACACAATTCCGAAAATGGGGTGTGGCCGAATTTTCGACGACCAAATGGTCGTCATATTTTTCGCGAACAACGACGAGGTGGCCGATTCAGAGTCGACTCTTTTACAGCCAAAATTTACAGGTTTGGCGATTTAACAACTTTGGTGGCCGATTTGCAGGCCGGTTCGGAAAAGTGGTAAAATTTGCAGTTACTACAGTAGTTGAGTATGTGCGACGGGGTCGCACTTTTGACGGCGATATTTCTCATTTGACGCGATCACAAATTCTGTCGTTGGGCGAAACCATGCGACGTCGCAGGCGATTGTCGCACACTGTGTCGACTACTTGGCCGTTTTGGAGTCGACTCGGCGTCGTTTTCGTGTCGACTTTTTAAACGGCCATCAAATTCGTTATTTCTTAGCGAAATTTGCGACGGTCACCACTTGACTTACGATTGTCGCAAACTGGTTACCTTCGCAAAAACGGCCCGACGGATTGTGGCAGAATTTTTGGAGTTTCCGATTTAACACGCCCTTATCTCCCCACCACTCCGCTCCCCCCCTCCCCCCCCCAACACTCCCCTCTCCCTTTCACCCCTCGCCCAAACCTCCTCACCTGATCAACCACGGCCACGCCAACAGATTCTCTGAATCTGGACAGAGCAGCAACGAGCGAGGCGAGGAGGTGGATCTGGTTGAAGCGCGCGCGGTGGGCCTTCACTAGGCACCGCACCACGTACCCCTCGCACTCGCCCCACGGAAGCTTCCTCAGCTGCCGCAGCACCTTCTCAACCGTGGATTTGCTGAGGTCAGCGTAGAGCAGCTTGCGGATGTACTGGGGGGAGGATGGGGGGAGGATGGGGGGAGGATGGGGGGAGGATGGGGGGAGGATGGGGGGAGAGGGGCGCATGGGGGGAGGAGGGATTGGGGGGAGAGGGGAGAAGGGAGAGGAGGAGAGGGAACGGGGAGAGGCGGAGAGGGAAGTGGGTGGGAGGGAAGGCGGGGAGAGGGACAGCTGAAGCCTCAGTTGCGTCTGTTAAGGTGAGGTCAGGATAGCGGAGCTTGGAGATGTAGTGGAGAAAGAAGGGGGGGGAATAGGGGAGAAAGGTGAAGGACGTGGGGAAGGGTGGAAAGCGGTTTTCTTTCTCAGGATATCCGCATGCTGTTTGGATAGATTTTAAGAGAAGCTTGCGAAAGAATGTATCAAACAAAGAAGAGGAGAGTATAAGGGGAGGGGGAGGGGATGGGATGTAGGGGGAGGGGGGGGGGGGGGGGTGGTGGCTGTGGAGAAAGCGTGGAGAAGGGGAGGGGAGATGGGAAGGGAAGAGGGGGAGCGGAGCGGTAACAGGAGCTTGAAAAACAATGAAGCATCAATACGCATGCTCAGCGCAGTGAAGATTCCCAGAAGACGTGTGTGCAAGAAACCCATTGCACGTGCAAGAGGCAGGGCAGGCAGGCCACACAGCCAGCCACGCTCAGACCACGCTCAGGTTCGACCTATCCTCACCCACACAGCAGCCTCCCTGGTCCTCCAAGACCCCTTCCCCCGGGCACAGCAAACACACACACCCCTCGCCCCCCACACCACCACCACACATAAACACACACGCCCCAGCGCCCCCTCCCCCCAGGCACAAGCACTCATCTCCCCCCATCCTTCCCACCTCGCCACAACACAACCACTCCCCCCCACCCCTCCCCTCTCTCCTCCCCCCCTCCATCCCTCACCTGGTGCAGCGGCGGGCGGGTCTTGACGACCTTGGCGACGCGGTCCGGGGGCCGGCAGAGGAAGTAGGCGTTGTCAATGAGCGTGGAGTGGTGCGCGTCGAAGCTGCGCGCGTTCTTGAGGCGCTGAATGATGTCCAGCATGTTGCCCATGCGCACCTGGTGGGGGGAGAGGGGCGGGGAGGGGGGGGAGGAAAGGGGGGAATAATGGAACGGCTCAGCATGTTGAGGCGCGTGCGTTCTTGAGGAGCTGAATGATGTCCAGCATGTTGCCCATGCGCACCTGGTGGAGAGGCGGGTGGTGGGTGAGGGTGGTGGAGGGGGAGGGAGGGCATGGAGGAGAGGGGGAGCATGCATGGGGGGGGGGGCGGCAGCAAAGAAAAGGGAAAACTGAGATAATAATGATGGCATGAGAAGAGGACGAGGTGGAGCATGTTGACTGCACACCCAGGGGGAAGAGGGAAGGGATGAGAGAATTTGAAAGGAACCACTAGAGGAACAGTGAACGGGTGTGCGCAACAGGGAAAGTGGAGGGCGAAGGGTGGGTTGGGACAGGAAGAGTGGGGAGAGGTGGGTGGGGTAGACAGGAAACGCGGGGAAGCAGGGTGGGGGGAACAGGGAAGGGTGGAGGGGACGAGGGGATATGCCTTGTCCTACGCAGAACAACTTGTTTTGTTACACAGCCCAACTGGGGGTATGAGAGCTGGGCGCATGAGCGCACCACACGATGAGCGCATGACCCCGTGAGCCTGTGAGCGCACCTTGGTGTCGGGGTGGCGGGAGAGGAAGGCCCCGCAGGTCTCAAGCAGCGCACACGCCACGTCAATGCTGTGATGGGAGAAGTCCTCCAGACACGACTGCATGCACGGGATTGAGGGGGGGGAGGCGGGGGGGTGGGAGAGAGAAGCACACAAGGACACAGGCTCTGCATGCAGTCATGTCAATGCTGTGGTGGGAGAGAAATCCTTCAAAGCAAGCATGACTGCATGCACGCGACCAAGGGGCGAGGGGGAACGGGCGGGGGGTGGAGGAGGGTGGGTGGGAGGAGCACACTAGTCACTAGACACAGGCGCGTCGACATTCATCCCGCTCAGGGTGGCCGTGCAGTGCACGCTGAGCTGCTGCCCCTCAGCCAATCACACCACACTAGCCGCGCCGCCCGCTTCGCAAAAAGGATGGCACCGAATTGGAATGGAGGGAGGCGGATGGCACGGTGTGGTGAGAGGTGATGGAGGAGGTGAGAGGTGATGGAGGAGGTGAGAGGGTCACCTTGAGGCAGCTGAAGATGAGTGATGGTGGCGCCACCTTGAACTTGGCTAGCTCGCCCAGGAAGCGGATGTTGCGCATCTTCGACTCTATGTTGATTTGATCCTGGTGGCCGCGTGGTGGTGGGGGTCCGGAGGAGAGGGAAGGAGAGATGGGGGAAGAGAAGGTGGGAAGGGAGGGAGAGGAGGGAGAGAAGCGATGATTTTGAATGCTGCGCATCTTTGACTCGATGTTGATTCGATCCTGGTTGGCGACGGTGGGAAGAGGGAGGCAGTGAGGGGTGTTTTAGTGTTCACCTTCGACTCAATATTGATTGTGAGAAAGTGGGACGAGAGGGAGGGGGAATAGATTGAAGATGCGGGGGAGGAGGACTGTCAGCGGTGGTCGCTTTCCTTGAGGCACGAGCTCCATCCACCCTGTCTGAAAATGTGCGATTTCTGAGAATTCACAACAATGACTGAAGCCGCAACTCAGCTCTTCGGCTTGCTTCGTCTCTTGGTCGAGTCAAACTGACGTCGAGTGGAGTCCATGTCAAACCCAGCAACATGAACCAGAGAAGAGCACGCCCCACATCACATCCCACATGTCCCCCCACCCCAAGGTGCGCCCACTAACCATGCCAACACCGAGAGCTTTCCTTCCTTTTGCCCCATGTTCCTGCCCCCACCTTCTTGCTCTTCCAGCAGGTGCCCCAGTGCTGGCCTGGCCCCACAACCCACATGTACCGCCCAAGTGTGCTGCCATGGAGGAAAGAGCACTCCTTCTTGCTCCCCATGCCCCCTATTTCAACACCCAGCCCACCCACTCAGCACCAACACAAGAGCCCACCCACCTTCTTGCTCTTGAGGGCGGCAAACTCCTCTTCAAGCAGGTGCACCAGTGCCGGCCCCACGTCGCGCATGTACTGCCCGAGCGTGGCGGCGAGGCGCGCATGGTACGGCAGCAGCTGCAGCGCCGTGCGGTGCACCGCGAAGAGTGCCCGCACCAGCCTGCGCCGACTGGCCTTGCTGTTCACGTAGCAGAAGTCCACCTGAGGGGAGGGGAGAGGGGGGGGGGGGCAACAGCAGAAGAGGCACGAACGGAGTAGATGCTTAATACAGGTGCGTCAAGGAGCGCACCAGCCTGCGCCTGCTGGCCTTGCTGTTAACGTAGCAGAAGTCCACCTAAGAGGGGGGGAGGGGTAGAGGGGTGGGGGAGGAGAAGCCGGAAGATTGGGGGGGGGGAAAGGGGGAGAGTGAGGGAAGAGGAAGGGGAGACGGTGGGGAAAGTGTGGGGAAGATTAACGGGAAAGGAGGGGGAAAGGGTGGTGAGAGAGGGAAGCAGCAGGGAAAGAGGCACAAACGGATGCTTCTAAGACGTGCCTCAAGGACCGCAGCAGCCTTCGCTGGCTGGCCAGGCAGGCAGCGAGAGAGGAACAGAGGGGGCGAGGGGAGGAGGGGGGAACGCAGGAAGCGAGGGCAGAAGGCTGACTGACAGCGAGTTGGTCGATGAGGTCTCTGCTGACACAAGATGGCAGGCGCTGCAGCAAGTCGTCTAGCTTTGCTGCCTCCACCCCCTTCACCTTCTCCTTCTCCTTCTCACTCTCCTTCTCCTTTTCCTTCCCCTTCTCCTTCTCCTTATCCTTCCCCTTCTCTTCCTTGTCCTTCTCTTTCCCCTTCTCCTTTCCCTTCTCCTTATCCTTCTCCTTCTCCTTATCCTTCTCCTTCTCCTCCTTCCCCTCACCCTCCTCACCCTCCTTCTCCTCCCCATCTCCACCCCCCTTCCCACCCTTCCCGCCACCATCCCCCAGCAGCACAGCAGGCACAAACAGCTTCAAGTCCGGCAAATCTTCATAGAACACTCTCGTCTCATCATCATCCCACAGGGGTAAAGGCTCAGCCTCTCTCTTCCCGCCGTCCGCCCCCGCCCCTACTGCGCCCCCTGCTGAGCTGTCCCCGCCCCCTGCCACGTGGGTGGTGTGCTCGTCCTCTGGCAGCACGACAGGTGGCCGGTCGAGAGCCTCCGCCAGGCTGGGAACGGGGGGACGGTACGGAGAAAAGAGGGGAGGGGTTCCAGGGGGAAGGTGGGGAGAGGGGGGGGCGGGGATGTAAGACGGTGGTGGTAAGTGGGTTGACTTGAGGGTGGTGCGTGGGATGGGGGGGGTTGGGTGATGAGAGGGCGCTGCGGAAAAGGGAGGGCTGGTAGAAAGAAAGTACAAAGGATGACGTGAACGAAAGGGGTTGAACGCACACAAACGCGCAGACCGGAACGAACCCACCATTCTGAAAGAGGAACTCGAAACTGAACCGGCAGTGACACCTGTATCAACACCCACAGCAACACCCCCGGCGACTCCCCCAGCGACACCCACAAAATCCAATCCTGCCCACTCACGCGTTGGTGTTGCGCAGCAGCTGCTCCAGCCCCCGGCGGCTCCCAAAGTGACACCCACATTGACACACGTATCGACACAACAGGCTCCAGTGGTGCCTCCCCCCACTCACGCATTGGTGTTGCGCAGCAGCTGCTCCAGCCCTCTGCGGCTCTTCTCATACGCGCCCGTCACGTCCTCCCCCACCTCCCCTTTCTGCGCCGTGATGCGCGCTATATCCCGCTCCATGCCCCTTAGCACGCCCTGCTCGCTCTGCACGAGTGTGCACAGGGCCTCAAAGAAGGATGATACCATCTTCGACAGCTGCTTGCGCTGCTCGGTAGTTACTGGGAGGTCTGTGTAGACCTTGGCGTGCGAGAAAGGGGGACGAAGGGAGGGGAGGGAAGGGAGAGGAGAGGAGGGGAAAGGGGATGAGAGAGGTGTTGCTTTTTCCCGCTCCATGCCCCTTCCATGCCTCGCAGCACGCCCTGCTCGCTCTGCACGAGAGCTGACAGGACCTCGAAGAAGGACGAGACTAGCTTGGAAAGCTGCTTGCGCTGCTCTGCGGTTACTGGGAGGTCTGTGTAGACCTGGGCGTGGGAGGAGGGCGGGGGGCGGGGGGTTGTGAGGGGGAGTTCTGTTTTTTTAGGAGACAAGAAGATAAGGGCTGGCTTTCGACGGGCCCAATGCATGATGGCATGCTTATGCTGTCTGTCAGCGGTTACTGGGACGCCTGCGTAGACCAGAGCGAGGGGAGGGGAAAGGGGGGGGGGAGGGGTGGCTTCACTTCACTCCAACACATACCTCCTCGTCTGCTGGGTCGCTCTTGAGCCCTAGTAGCGGCCCTCCCACCCGCACAAAGCTGAGCATGAGAGTCACAGACATGGTCACCGCCTCCCTCTCCCTCTCCAGCCTCTCCTTCTCCCTCTCACTCTTCCCAGCGCCAATACCCACTTCCGCTCCCCCTCCCCCTCCCGCTCCCCCTCCTGCCGCCGCCGCTGACGCCGCTGCGGCTGCTGCTGCGGCCGCTGCTACAAGCCCGGCCCCATCCGCGCTCGCCATCTCCTTCACGACGCCTATAATCACACTCGCATCGCCGTACACTCCACATAAGAACAGCTCCACTAGCAGCCGAAACACGCTGCGCTTCCGGGATATTCTGGCAGAGAGGCTCGCTCCTGTGCCCGCACCACCCGCCCCTGCCACCGCGCCCCCTCCTCCCGCTGCTCCTGCTCCTGCTAACCCTGCCCCACTGATTCCTCCCCCTGCTCCGCCCACACTAACTGCGCTCCCGTCCAGATCGTCGAAAAACAAGCTGCTGGTGATGGTGCTGCTGCCGCCACTGCTGGTGCTGGTGCCGGTGGTTGGTTTGGAGGAGGGAGGAGATGGCATGAGGACGCGGAGCAGGGTGGGGATGAGGGCCGGGGAGAAGTCTGCGTAGCGTTGGTGCAGCAGGGAGCAGACCTGAAGGGTGGAAGAGGTTGAAGAGGGGCGTGAGGTGAGGGGGAGAGGGGGGAGGGCGGGTGGGAGAGGGGGAGAGGGAGAGAGGGGGAGACGAGCAGAGGGGCAGAGGAGGAGCAGATGGGGGAGAAGGGGAGAAGGGGAGAAGGGGAGAAGGGGAAAGGGGGGGAGAGGGAGACTGGGAGAGGCAATGATAGACGTCGGGAGGAGGGGCGAGAGGAAAGAGGAGGTGAATAGAAAAGAAAGGAGGGGGAGGGAGGGGAATCCTTAATCTTGTGCAAACCATGATTGCGTGAGGCTATTCGTGTATGGCTAAATTAGATGCAACGCAGTTAGTAACGCATACAAAGGGCAGATGAATCTGTAAGAAGAACTTATTTCGTTGGTAGGTAGCTTGGTATGAACCCTTTATCAGCACAATACTTAGTACATCCAACGTATGTGGGCAGACGTGGGTGAAGGAGGGATGGGAGAGGCACGGGGAAAAGGGGGATGGGATGGGAGGGGAGGGGAGGAGGGAGGGGAGAATGAGGGAGGGGAGAAGAAGGTAGGTAGGGAGATTGGATGGGACGGGACGGGACAGGCGGAGAGGAGAAAGAGTAGAGAGGAGAAACAGGAGGGAGGAGGGGAGGAGAAGAGAGTGGGAGGGGAGGAGTGGAGGAGAGGAGAGGAGGGGGGGGACGGGAGGAGTGGAGAAAGAGCAGGCAAGAGAGGAGGAAAGGAGAGAAAAGGGAAGGGGAGCAGAGGGGAGGGGGGAAGGGAGGGGAGAGGGTGAGAGGAGGAAAAAGGACGGGAGGGGAGGCAGGGACCTGCACGGCGGCGGGGATGTCGGGCATCTTGAGCTTGGCCTCTGCTATGGCTGCCACTGCTTCTGACACGTACTTGCTCATGTTCACTGCCCGCACCTGAGGGGGGGAGGGGAGGCATGGAGGGGAGGGACGGACGGGAGGCAGGGTCCAGGGATGGGAGGATGGGGGGAAGGCAGGGAGGGCGGAAAGGGAGGGGAGACATGGATGGGGCTTGCAACCTACAGGTGCGAGTGCCTGCAGGACAGGGAGGCAGGTATGCAGTGGGGGGTAGGAAGAAGGAGGGGGGCGGGGGGGAAGCGGGGGAAGACTGGAAGAGAGGAGCGGGGGAAGACTGGAAGAGAGGAGCGGGGGAAGACTGGAAGAGAGGAGCAGGGGGGAGGGAGGAGATATATGGAGAAAAGTTCACAGGGGTGGGCTTGAAAGGGAACAAAGCTGAGACCATTACTCGGAAAAAAGTGAGGCTACAAGGTTTTTGGTGAAAAAACGAGAGGATAAAGAAAGTTCCGGAAGAGGGGGGGGCAGGGGGGGATGCAGTGAAGCTAAGTGTTCGTGGGACTAGAGGCCGAAATGCCCATGCACGTGCACCCCTAAACCCCACCAGCTTGTAGCATCCACCTCCCCTATCTCACCACACCAACCCCACCCTTACACACCACCAGCTAAACCAGCAACACCAGCTACATTACCGAGATGGAAAAACAAGCCGCACCCACAATCTCACACAAGCCATCCACCCCACCCACCCACCCACCTCATCCAGAATGGTTTCTTTCTGATCCTCGCTGAGCTGTTTCAGCCGTCGGATCATCGCCGTGTTGCGCTTGATGCTCGAATCCAGGCCCTTGCCCTCGCCGCTCGCGCCCAGCCGCTTCGGCCGCAGGTTCGCCGCCCGAAGCGCCTTCTTAGCCTCGGCAGCCTTCCGAGCCTCGTCTGCTCTGGCGAGAGCATCGTCCTGGGGGGAGCGGGGGAGAAGGGGAGTTGGTGGTGGAAGGGGGGGGGGGGGAGGGGGAGAGAAAGAGGGTGGGGGGGAGGAGATACGGGGTGGAGGAAGTGCGTGGGGGTAGAGATGAAGTGGGAAGCCGGAAGAGAGAAGAGACAGAGGCGAGTGGCGATCGATAAAGACGCTATGTGACATGAACGACTAAATGGATGTTCAGCTTGCACAATGAGGAGTTGAATCGAGAGAGAAAGAAGGTGAGAAGTTGGAGGTAAGAATGTAAGAAGACCAAAGGAGGCATGGGGGAAGGCGAGGGGCAGCGAGGGTCACACGGGTGGGAAGGGGAGGGGCAACGAGTGAGGTTAGGTTTGAACTAGAGGACACCCGCAAGAGTTATGAAAACCCTACATCAGAAATAGGGGGGTCGAAACAGAGTGAGAAACGGGCGACGAAGGCAGGGGCCCAGGAAGGAAGGAGGAGAGAAGAGGCGATTAACTCCATGGGCTTAAACTTAAAGCGTCTCCTAGATCCGTCCGCAAGGTGTAGCTGGTGCGCGTTTTGAGCGGGATATGCCCACGTGCGCGCGCGGAGCGGGGGAGCACAATTCAGCGGGGAAGGCGGCGGAACGACGCTAGAAAGTTCTGGGCCGTCTCGAGGCACGGAGCCGTGGGGCCGAGCCAGAGGGGAAGCGCCGGTGGGACTAAACGGGTGTGGACGCGAGCAAAGGAAAGCGGACGCCACGTGACCGAGACGCCACGTGACCGAGACGCCACGTGACCGAGACGCCGGTCCCTTCTGACAACAGGTCAGTCCCTGCTGACCCTCGGTTTAGGGTTAGAGCCGACCATACGAGATGCGTCCCTGCGAACGCGTGGATTCTCGCGCAGCGCGTCGCTACTGCGTGACGCCGCTCACGCCGATCATCGGACCGCCGTGTCGACCCACGAGCGCGCCCCACGGCAAGCTCATTCCCCCGCGCGTTCGCTCAACCCGCTTTTCCCGTGCATTAAGGCGCCGCGCGGAACGAACTACCAGGCGCGTCGAGCCATCTCCAAGTCAAACCGCGAGCCCTAGCGGTTGCTGTGTGCCTCACTCACCTCCCGCCCCTCTTCTTCCGCTGCGGCTGCCGCGCCCCCCTCCGCGCCGCCTCTTCTTGGCGACGCGTCGACCGCCATGATCGAGTTAGACCGTAAGAATTCGTCAGGGACTTTCACGTCGTTACTAGATACGAGGTAAGTGGAAACTGGATTAGGCTGAATTTATTAGGTTGCTTCAGAATTGTCGGAAAGATGTGTGGTGTGGATGCAATGTTGCTAGCAGGGTTGATGTCAGGTCGACCCTGCTCGATATTGTGACGTCCGTTTGTAATATTTGTCAATGCAGCTTCTAAATGCAATTCTAAAAACTATCATCCTTGTTTTTTTTGCCAGTCAAACCAAAAGTGGTCCCAGCACCCGTTGTAACTATCTTTCTGTTTTCGGTATTGGAATAACATCTTTCAATAAATGCTTGAGAGGAAGTGTGAATCGTCTGTATATTTCCCGGAGACGGTACATTGAGAAGCCAATTCCTACATGTTCTTACATCCACTAAACCCCGATCCCCTTCATGCACGCCACATCAAGAAGCATGACCAAGTCCCTGCTGCTACTGGACAGCCCCTTCACGAAACCCAGGAAAATATCAGAACAGCAACATAACAGAAAACAGCTTCCGCTACCGCGTCTTAGCAGCCCGCCTTCACGGAGAGCTACTTCTTGGCGATTCCTGTAGCCGCGATCTGCTTAAGCGCCTCCAAGACCGCGTCGGTGGCCTTGGTGAGCACCTCGCTCACCTTCTTTACCGCTTCCTCCGCCTTGGTCACCGCTGCTCGCACGGCGCCCGGCTTCGCGGCCTCGTCCTTCTTGGGTTTCGCGGCCGCAGCAGCAGGCGTCGCCGGGGGGTCCTTCTTGAAGTTCACATCCTTAGACTTGTAAGTCGTGGCCGCTTTCCAATCCGCGGGGAGCACGTCTTTAAGAACGACTTGCTCCTTAGTGTCCCTCGCGGTCACGCGGAACGAAAGCGTTTTGTTGGCGCGCAGGAAAGCCTTTTCGCCCTTGATCTTCCACGTGGCCTTGACATCAGATTTTTCCAGCGCCTTCCACGTGGACCCATCGTTCGACACCTCCACGCGCTCCACGCTTCCCGGGCCGGCCGTTCCCAAGATCTGCACCTTAAACTCGTCCTCGGTGGACTTATCGCGAACCCGCACGGCGATTCTCGTCGCGTTGCTGCACGGCGCGCGCTCGTATTTGAAATCCACAGGGTTCTTGTCCTTATCCTTGGCGATCTTGCTCCACGCCGCGTCAGAAATCATGATCCGCGAATTATTCTTTGAAATGCCCACCACGCGGACATTTACCTTTGCGTCCGCTACGCAGCGCGAGTTATTCACGCACGAGACGAAGTAGCACGCGCCACATGCGGCTCCCTTGTCAAAAATCTCCGGCGGGAAGCGCGCGACCTTCCCTCCGTCGAAGAATTCACTCTTGTCGAAGGGCGACCCGAAATACTCGCATTTTCCGCCATCGGTGTTGATCTTGTTGCTGAGCCTACCCTGGTATTGCTTCGCGGCAGCTACCGGCGGCGCTTGGAGCATACGGCGGAAACTGGTGGCGCTGGCGCTAACAGCATGGAGCAGCGTGAACGCGAGGATGGTGAAAATAAAGCGCATGAATCGGGCGGCTGGATGATCCATAATGTTGCGTAGCGAGACAGAAGGTGGGCTCAGGTCAGAGCAGATTGTATCAGCTAGGCTGAGGCTGAATGTCAAATGGTTTGCTCAACGACTGTATTACTTGCCAAACTAGTACTAGGCAGCAACACTTGAAGAAGCCGAGTTCGGTTAGGGCCGCTACTTGCGGTGAATGCGGCGCGAAAGGGGGTAAGCAGGTAAGCTTGGGTCGTGACCAGTCAATGATTGTGCGATGAGGAACGAGTCGCGTAGTACCATGGAACGATTCGTTACGTAAGGGGGGAATGCCTAGTACTAGTTTCTTTGGTAGGTTGGTTGTGCCGAGTCGTGGCCTGTAATTGTGAGCTGGAAATGGTGAAGTCTACATTTCACTCTGATTGGTACCGCATCGTACGGCGCTTGAGAAAGGAGGTGCTTCGATCAGCGATGTAAAATTATTTGCAATTATGTGTACGGCAAGTGGAAAAATATGTCAAGGGTCTCAATAATATTTGTAATAAAAAGAACACAAGAACCGTCAGTGATTAGGGTGTTTTCACGTGTTCGACATAACATTTCGCGTGATCTGTCACAATCGTTACAATTTGAAAGGGCCTTTACAGGATCGTCACAACGAGCGAGTGTAGCAGCGGAAGTTGCTCATGATTGTATACAGACTCTATCATTAAAAGATGAGTGTTGACAGAGGTGACTATAACAATGAAATGCATGAGTTTTGATAGGACTATGTTGAGATATGAAGTTTTATGAGAAGGCATTCCTGTACGTAGCAGGGGCCGACTCTACCGAGTACGAAGTCGAGGAGTCAGAAGGATCAAAGCGACACCAGCAACCGTCATATCGATGTCAAAATAACTTATATACTGAGTACAACCCATTAGGGTTAGCTCTACTTGTACTCCTCACTCATGCTAGTGCACCTCATTCCGCTGTATTGATTTTAACATAGTTTCTGAGGAGGTCCTGATCTAGGACCGTTTTTTTAGGGCCCACCGTCACTCCTGCCACAGGAGCTGCTGCCGTCGCGCGCTGCCCTGTTCGCCGCGCGCGTTCCCTGCTCTGCCCTGCCCCGCGCGGTCGCGCTGCTCCGCGCTGCCCCGCGCTGCCCTGCTGCCGCGCGTGCTGCACTGCTGCTCGCGCTGCCCCGCCGCGCACTGCCCTGCTCGCCGCGCGCGTGCCCTGCCCTGCCCAGCGCTATCGCGCTAACCTGCCCCACGTGCCCCACACACCCTGCTGCCCTGCGCGCCCCGCGCGCCCTGCTGCCTGCGTGCCTCGTACGCCCCGCTCCCCAGCGCCCGTACGCGCCCTGCTGCCCCGTGTTAGAAACTAGAAGTGAACGAGAATGTGTGAAACTAGGCAGCAGGGTGATACAAGTAGGAAACCCTAGCAATGTTGTACCCCCTAAGGCTAAACCCACTATAGCCTACACAATAGGAACATGTATAATGTTTGACACACCCCCATAGGCTAAGTGGGAGACAACCAGATGGTCACAAGACCAGTAAAAGCAAAGCAAAGCAAGCTCAGGGTGGATCTCAAGGAAACCACACAAATTCCGAGCACAAGCAAGAGGTCACAAGACCAGTTCACATGCAGTTTGATAAAAAAACAAGAGGTACAGTGATCACAACCTAGCAAGTGTAAGCATGCATGTATATAAAAATATATAGAGAGAGAGAGATCACAGTACAAGCAGAGTCAAGAAGTGAGCAAGTGAGGGACAGTAGGCACAAGGCCTAGAACAGTACAGAAACGCTGATGGTCACAAGGCTGAAGCGCCTTGGTGAACACATCAGCAGTGTTGGCCCGAGTGGCCACGTAAGTAAGACGAAGCTGACCACGCTGCTGCAGCTCTCGAGCAAGGAAGTAGCGCAGAGCGATGTGCTTCGTTCTGTGCTCCAGTCTGTGCTCCTGACACAAGGCAATGGCGGCCTTGTTGTCGACGTACAGCACTGGAGGAGAACGAGGCCGCTCTCCCAGGTCGGTCAGCAGGTAGGTGAGCCAGCGTAGCTCCTGGGCAGCCATGGCTGTGGCGTAGATCTCAGCCTCACAACTGGAGCTGAGAACTGAAGACGAGCGTGTAGAACGCGAAGAAACTGAACCAGAGCCAAGGCTGAAGGTGTAACCCTGAGACGACCGCTGCGTAGCCTGGTCGTCAGCCCAAGAAGCGTCTGAGTGTCCAGAGAGGACAACGTCGCGCCGTCCTCCAAGCACAAGCCCCATGCCCGACGTACTGCACAAGTAGCGCAACACCCTCTTAGCGGCATCCATGTGCTCCTTCCGGTGACGGCCAGGAGCGACATAGCGTGCTAGGATGCTAAGAGGGTATGCAAGGTCAGGTCGAGTGCAGGTCATCAGGTACATGAGGCAGCCCACAAGCTCTGGATACGGGCCACTCGGCTCTACGGAATCATCCGAAGGCAGAGCTGAGAGCGAGTGACCGGTAGGCAGAGGAGTGGGCTGAGGCGAGGAGTACGTGAAGCGGAAGCGCTGAAGGACCTGCTGCACCATGTGTGACTGAGTCAAGGTGATGGTGCGCTGTGCTCTGTCCCGGGTGATCCGCAAGCCAAGATAGCTTGTCAGCTCACCCAGGTCTGTGCACGTGTGTCTCTTCTGCAGCTCCGAATTCACGTGGGCGAGTGCCTCAGTGTCAGCAGTAGCAAAGACCAAGTCGTCTACGTACACGAGAACGTAGAACGGCGGCAGAGTGGTGTCGGTGCGGAGAAACAGCGACGGGTCAGCAGTAGAAGGAGCAAACCCAAGAGCAGCAAGAGTAGTCCTCAGTGTGTCGTGCCACTCACGGGGTGCCTGGCGGAGACCGTAGACTGGCCGCCGGAGGCTCCACTGGGTACCAGGAGGGAACGACCCAGTGAAGCCAAGTGGGCGGCGCAGCCAGATCTCCTCGTGCAGGCTGCCCTGTAGGAACGCAGTGCTGAAGTCAAGAGAGTGGAGCTCGTAGTCACGCTGAGCAGCGACGTGCAGCAGAACCCGAAGAGTGGTCATCTTCGGGGTCGGAGAGAAGGTCTGGAAGAAGTCAACTCCCTCTCGCTGACTGAAGCCTCGTGCAACGTAACGCGCCTTGAAGACAGGCGGAGAACCCGGCGGCCGCTTCACCCTGAAAATCCACATGCCACTGACGATGTTCGCCCCAGGTGGGGGAACCTCGTCGACGTAGGTGCCTGTGGACTTCCAGGAAGCCATCTCTGCGTCCATGGCTGTCTGCCACTGAGAGGAGTAGAGACCCTCCATCGCCTCTGCGTAAGAGCGTGGGGTCGGGATGTCTGGTGCATCCGGGTCTCCCTCAGGGGCAATCAGCATGGACACGAGATGAGGTAAAGCAGCGGCAAAGCACTCAAACTCCTCCTGTCTGTCCTCAAGGACGTCCGTGCCAAGAGCACACTCACCCCCGACGGACGGAGGACAGACAGACTCAGACTCAGCAACAAGGCTAGCGGCGTAGTCTAGACGACAGGCGGCAGCAAAGTCAACAAGCTCAGCAACTAGAGCAGACGCATCAGTGGACTCAAAGGAAGGGTCAGTGACAACAGTAGCGAGAAGACGCGTGACTGTAGGACTGGCAGCACGAGCAAGGTTTGACGGCGGGTCAGCAACGTCAGGAAGAGAGGACGCAGGAGGAGACGGCAGAGGGACACGTTGTGGAGCAGTGGAAGGACGCAGAGTCATATAGTGAGTGCCAAGTACAGGAGGAGGACGCTGACGCGGAGCACGACGACCAGTGCGGACAGCGCGGACAGGCGACTCTGGACGAGACTCAGGTGACTCAGGACGAGACTCAGGCGACGCAGGACGAGACTCAAGCTCACGACGCTCCGTAAGACCTCTAGTCGGCCCAGCGTAAGGAGAAGGACCAGGCAGCGGAGAGGCAAGCGGTAACTGTGACTGCGACTGGACAGGTGGTGGACTCAGTAGGGGAGGAGAAGGACCAGTGGAGGGGGGGAGGCCAAGAACCTGCTGAAGGAGCGGAACGTAGTACGGCCGCGGCCGCTCAGCACCTCCTGAACCAGCAGAGACAGCACCAGCACCCTCAACCCCAGGGTCTCCAGCGACAACTCCCGCAGCACCACCAGTAACCCCACCAGCTCCAGTACCTCCAGCTCCAACCTTCGCAGGAGCTCCAGTACCTCCAGTACGAGCACCTCCAGAACTAGCGGCTCCAGCAGCTCCAGCACCAGCAGGACCTCTAGTAGCTCCAGCACCAGCAGCACCTCCAGCAGCACGAGCAGCGCCTCCAGCAGCTCCAGCACCAGCAGCACCTCCAGCAGCACCACCAGCAGCTCCTGCACCAGTAGTAGCCCCAGCTCCAAGGTCCGCTGCACCAGCAGCAGCTCCAGCTCCAGGGTCCAAAGCACCAGTAGTGCCACTCCGGAGACTGCAGCGCCGAGCGTACCACTCTCGGAGCCGCTGGGGAGAGAGCGCACCAGCAGCACCTCCAGCAGCTCCAGCACCAGGAGCACCAGCACCAGCACCAGCACCAGCTCCAGCACCAGGAGCACCAGCACCAGCACCAGCTCCAGCTCCAGCACCAGGAGCGTCTCCAGCAGCTCCAGCTCCAGTAGCACCTCCAGCAGCACCACCAGCAGCTCCTGCGCCAGCAGCACCAGCACCAGCTCCAGCTCCAGGGTCCGCGGCACCAGCAGCGGCTCCAGCTCCAGGGTCCTCAGCACCAGCAGCACCACTCCGGAGACTGCAGCGCCGAGCGTACCACTCTCGGAGCCGCTGGGGAGAGGGCGGCTCCTGCCTAGGCGGGGAACCACGAGCACCAGCTCCAGCAGTACCCCTAGCCCCAGAAGCGCCCCTCCTGAGGCTGCAGTACCGCGAGTACCACTCACGCAGCTGCTGGGAAGAGGGAGCGCCTCCAGACGCAGTACGGTCAGTCGCAGCAC